CTGGTCATCCCTGTGCTGTCCGCAGTCTCTGGTCATCCCTGTACTGTGTCCGCAGTCTCTGGTCATCTCCTGTACTGTGTCAGCAGTCTCTGGTCCATCTCATGTACTGTGTCCGCAGTCTCTGGTCATCTCCTGTACTGTGTCCGCAGTCTCTGGTCATCTGTACTATGTCCGCAGTCTCTGGTCATCTCCTGTACTGTGTCCGCAGTCTCTGGTCATCCCCTATACTATGTCTGCAGTCCATTAGTTCAGAATTTTTTTTTTCCTGTTTTCTGCCTCTAAAACCTAGGTGCATCTTATGGTCAGGTGCGTCTTATGGAGCGAAAAATACAGTAATTAATATTTAGTTGTATAAGCACTGTTTCTGAGAACTGCTGTACATCTGTGTTGCATGGAGTCAACCAACTTCTGGCACCTGTGAACAGGTATTCCAGCCCAGGATGATTGGACTACATTCCACAGTTCTTCTCTATTTCTTGGTTTTGCCTCATAAACTGCATTTTTGATGTCACCCCACAAGTTTTCTATTGGATTAAGATCCGGGGATTGGGCTGGCCACTCCATAACGTCAATCTTGTTGGTCTGGAACCAAGATGTAGCACGTTTACTGGTGTGTTTGGGGTCTTTGTCTTGTTGGAACACCCATTTCAAGGGCATTTCCTCTTCAGCAGAAGGCAGCATGACCTGTTCAAGTATTCGGATGTATTCAAACTGATCCATGATCCCTGGTATGCGATAAATAGGCCCAACACCTTAGTATGAGAAACATCCCCATATCATGATGCTTACGCAACCATGCTTCACTGTCTTCACAGTGTACTGTGGCTTGAATTCAGTGTTTGGGGGGTCGCCTGACAAACTGTCTCCGGCCACTAGACCCAAAAAGAACAATCTTACTTTCATAAGTCCACAAAATGTTGGGCCATTTCTCTTTAGGTCAGTCAATGTGCTCTTTGGCAAATTGTAACCTCTTCAGCACATGTCTTTTTTTCAACAGTAGGACTTTGTGGGGGCTTCATGCAGATAGCTTGGCTTCACATAGGCGTCTTCTAATTGTAAGAGTACTCATAGGTAACTTTAGACCTTCTTTGATCTTCCTGGAGCTGATTGTTGGCTGAGTCCTTGCCATTTTGGCTATTCTTCTATCCATTCAAATGGTAGTTTTTCGCTTTCTTCCACGTCTTTCAGGTTTTGGTTGCCATTTTAAAGCATTTGCGATCATTTTAGCTGAGCAGCCTATCATTTTCTGCACTTCTTTATATGTTTTCCCCTCTCCAATCAACTTTTTAATCAAGGTACGCTGTTCTTCTGAACAATGTCTGGAACGACCCATTTTCCTCAGAATTTCAGAGAGAAATGCACTGTAACCAGCATGTACAACATTTGCTGCCTTCCTTCCTTAAATAAGGGCAATAATTGCCACCTGTTTTTCAAAGAATGAATGACCTCACTAATAGAACTCCACACTATTATGCTATTATTTTGAACATGCCCTTTTCAATTAGTGATTCAATTACACAGAATCAGCAGCATGCAGCATGCATGTCATGACTGTTATTTGCCATGTAGAAATATAATTTCTACCAAAAACAGTGATTGATCAGGTTAGTGATGTCTGACTGCTATTATTTTGAACACAACTTTATATATATATATATATATATATATATATATACACATATACACAGTTCGCAAAAAAATTAAGGGAACACAGTAGCTAAGGGGGTTGTTAGTCAATTTCAGCTGCTTTGGTGTTAATTAAATTAACAACAGGTGCACTAGATGGGCAACAATGAGACGACCCCCAAAACAAGAATGGTTTTACAGGTGGAGTCAGCGGACATTTTTTTCCCTGCTCATCTTTTCTGACTGTCTTTCACTAGTTTTGCATTTGGCTAGGATCAGTGTCACTACTGGTAGCATAAGGCGATACCAGGACCCTACAGATGCTGCACAGGCAGTCCAACTCCTACAGGATGGCACATCAATATGCGCCATTGCTAGAAGGTTTGCTGTGTCTCCCAGCACACAGTCTCGAGAGCATGGAGGAGATTCCAGGAGACAGGCAGTTACTCTAGGAGAGCTGGACAGGGCTGTACAAGGTCCTTAACCCATCAGCAGGACCAGTATCTGCTCCATTGTGCAGGAGAGGAACAGAATGAGCACTGCCAGAGCCCTACAAAATGACCTCCAACAGGCCACTGGTGTGAATATGTCTGACCAAACAATCAGAAACAGACTTCATGAGGGTGGCCAGACGTCCTCTAGTGGGCCCTGTGCTCACTGCCTGGCACCATAGAGCTCCATTGGCATTTGTCATTGAACACCAGAACTGGCAGGTCCACCACTGGCGCCTCGTGCTTTTCACAGATGAGAGCAGGTTCACCCAGAAAACATATGATAGACGTGAAAGGGTCTGGAGAACATTATGCCGCCTGTAACTTCGTTCAGCATGACTGTTTTGGCGGTGGGTCAGTGATGGTCTGGGGAGGCATACCCATGGAGAGACACACAGACCAGGTACCCTGACTGCCATTAGGTATTGGGATGAAATCCTTGGACCATTGTCAGACCCTACGCTGGTACAGTGGGTCCTGGGTTCCTCCTGGTGCACGACAATGCCCGGCCTCATGTGGAAAGAGTATACAGGTAGTTCTTGGAAGATGAATGAATTGATACCATTGAATGGCCCCCACGCTTGCCTGACCTAAATCCTACAGAACACCTCTGGGATATCATGTTTCAGTCCATCCAATGCCGCCAGGTTGCACCTCAGACTGTCCAGGAGCTCAGTGATGCCCTGGTCCAAATCTGGGAGGAAATATCCCAGGACACCATCCTTCGGCTCATTAGGAGCATGCCCCGACATTGTCAGGCATGCATACAAACATGTGGGGGCCAAACAAACTACTGAGTACCATTTTGAGTTGCTGCAATTAAATTTCAGCAAAATGGACTAGCATGCTGTATCATTTTTTCATTTTGATTTTCGGGGTGTCATTGAATTCAGTCCTCTGTAGGTTGATCATTTTCATTTCCATCAAACAATGGGGCATCTTTATGTTCCTAACACATTACCCAGTCCATATCAGTATAGATATCCAGCATGATATTTTTCCCCATTGAGATCTGATGTGTTTTCAAAGTGTTCCTTTTTGAGCAGTGTATATATACAGTGGATATAAAAAGTCTATACACTCCTGTTAAAATGTCAGGTTTCTGTGATGTAAAAAAAATTAGGCAAAGATAAATAATTTCAGAACTTTTTCCACCTAATGTGACCTATAAACCATACAACTCAATTGAAAAACAAACTGAAATCTTTTAGGGGGGGGAAGTAAACATAAAAAACTAAAATAATGTGGTTGTATAAGTGTGCACACCCTCTTATAACTGAGAATGTAGCTGTGTTCAGAATGAAGCATTCACATTCAAAATCATGTTAAATAGGAGTCAGTACACACCTGCCATCATTTAAAATGCCTCTGATTAACCCCAAATAAAGTCCAGCTGTTCTAGTAGGTCTTTCCTGACAATTTCTTAGTCGCATTCTACAGCAAAAGCCATGGTCCACAGAGAGCTTCCAAAGCATCAGAGGGTTCTCAGTTTTAAAAGGTATCAGTCAGGAGAAGGGTACAAAAGAATTTCCAAGGCATTAGATATACCATGGAACACAGTGAAGACAGTCATCATCAAGTGGAGAAAATATGGTGCAACAGTTACATTACCAAGAACTGGACGTCCCTCCAAAATTGATGAAAAGACAAGAAGAAAATTGGTTTGGGAGGCTGCCAAGAGGCCTACAGCAACATCAAAGGAGCTGCAGGAATATCTGGCATGTACTGGCTGTGTGGTACATATGACAACAATCTCCCGTATTCTTCATATATCTGGGCTATGGAGTAGAGTGGCAAGACGGAAGCCTTTTCTTACAAAGAAAAACATCCAAGCCCAGCTAAATTTTGCAAAAAACACATCTGAAGTCTCCCAAAAGCATGTGGGAGAATGTGTTATGGTCTGATGAAACCAAGGTTGGACTTTTTGGCCATAATTCCAAAAGATAGGTTTGGTGCAAAAACAACACTGCACATCACCAAAACAACATCATACCCACAGTGAAGCATGGTGGTGGCAGCATCATGCGTTGGGGCTGTTTTTCTTCACCTGGAACTGAGGCCTTAGTCATGGTAGAGGGGATTATGAACAGTCCCAAATATCAGTCAATATTGGCACAAAACCTTTAGGCTTCTGATAGAAAGCTGAACATGAAGAGGAACTTAATCTTTCAGCATGGCAACGACCCAAAGCATACATCCAAATCAACAAAGGAATGGCTTCACCAGAAGAAGATTAAAGTTTTGGAATGGCCCAGCCAGAGCCCAGACCTGAATCCGATTGAAAATCTGTGGGATGATCTGAAGAGGTAGGTGCACAGGACTGACAGATTTGGAGTGATTTGGAAGGAAGAGTGGGCAAATATTGCCAAGTCAAGATGTGCCATGCTGATAGACTCATACCTAAAAAGACTGAGTGCTGTAATAAAATCAAAAGGTGCTTCAACAAAGTATTAGTTTAAGGGTGCGCACACTTATGCAACCATATTATTTTAGTTTTTTATTTTTACTTCCCTCCATCTAAAAGAAGTTTGTTGATCAATTGAGTTGTACCGTTTATAGGTTACCTTAAAGGTGGAAAAAGTTCTGAAATTATTTATCTTTGTCTCATTTTTTTTTTACATCACAGAAACATGACATTTTAACAGGGGTGTGCAGACTTTTTATATCCACTGTATGTATATATATATATATATGTATATATGTATATATATATATATATATATATATATATATATACACACACGCACGTGCATACATGTGTACTTGTGCATTGGGGTGGAAACCCTAATGCAGTAGGCTGTGCACACCTATGTCTACTAGATATTATAATACACAGTGAAACAATAAGACAAAAACATGTACAGTAAAGCTAAAGTCACAAACCGACTTGTATGGCAGCCACAATCTTGTTATGTTCTGAACTCATGGAAAAGGTGCTGAAACAGACAAATGATTACATACAAGTTAATTTTATAAGCTTTGTACAAGTATCACAGGGATTTATACATTTTGTTTTTGATCACATGCAAAGTGCTCTATTGAAGTACTTTCATTCATCTTCTTTTATACAAACAATAAAAAAATAGAAACATCAGTAATATAAACTTGTAAAAAATAAAATGATATTGATAGAAATCCAATATAGTTTTTCATCATGTATGCAAATATTTGTATGAGAGTGTGTTTAGTACTGACATCCCCAATATACTCAGAAATCTAATACAATATGAATTTTTTCAAACCCCATGAAAATCCATACATCTTGCATACACATTGTGGCCATGGGATTAAAACTGCCACAGCTATCTGTTAGAAGTCTATTTTTATTCTGATGTTTCTAAATTAAGCTCTGTTGTAAAATGCGGTAAATACGCATATGTGTTTTTGCGTCATATCCAGTGTATCTTGTATCTGTGACTCGTGACTCAAAAAACATACCAAAGATGCAACTACATGCATTTTTGCTGTGTTTTTGGTGCATTTTCCATTCATTTTAGTGGGGAGGTGCGTTTTTGCTGCATTTTGTTTTAACCAAACCAAAAATGTAGCATGCAGGATATTTAAAAATGCAACTGACTAGTGTAAAGAGTCTCACGGGATTTAATGGTCATACATTTTCCTTCTTTCTTTTTATGGCAAAAGCAGAAGAAGAACTGATCAGAACTGATCAGTTTGAAAAGGGCCGTAACATGAAGTTAAATCTGATTGGTTGCCAATGGATTTTGTACTCTTTTAGTGCTTATACATATAAAAATGCAGCGCTGTAAAATGATCAAATCATGCAAATCAACACAATAATAATCCTGAAAAGGTGATCATTAATTCCCAGTGCCAATGGAAAGAATGCAAACTAACCAGAAGCTCATTTAAAATACGCATGTGTGTAAGAAATCCTGGAGATTCCTCTCTCTCCCTCTGGTCAGAAAATGGATATGTGCTGAAATGGATGACGATAACGCCCTCTAGTGGGAAAACGAAATCCTGCAGGTCAGGAAGCTCCCAGGATAGGACATTCCTCTTCAATGGAACCAGGGCTGGGATTGAAATCACTCTGTGGCTGTGAAATTGGGAGAAAGACCCCTCACAGAGAACACAGAGAGATACTCATAGTGTAGTATATTACTTCAATTTATTAAAAAAAAACAAGTAAAACATATAATCAGGTGGCAAGTGAAAGTGACCCACTGACCCTCTTAAAATTATAGGTGGCCGCCGGGCCTCCACATGGCACCGGCGGCGTAGTGTCAACGACGTCCACAGGCTCCTTCTGACGTGTTTCGTGCGCACGCACTTCTTCTGAGGTAGAGCAAGGGTCCATTTTCTGACCAGAGGGAGAGAGGGGAATCTCCAGGATTTCTTTCACACATGCGTATTTTAAATGCGCTTCTGGTTAGTTTGCATTCTTTCCATTGGCACTGGGAATTAATGAGCACCTTTTCAGGACTATTATTGTGTTGATTTGCATGATTTGATCATTTTACAGCGCTGCATTTTTATATGTATATGTTTTACTGAGGATTTTTACATGCGTTTTTCCTGGATGTTCAGCTGCTGTTTCTTTGAGAGCGCTCACTGTGTGTCCTTTACCTGTACACTCTTTTAGTGCTGTTTGCACTGCCATATTGAAAAAGAAAAACTACCATATTCTACATTTTAAAATTTTCCTTTGGGCCTCTGATAATCAGTTGAAATGTATTAATTCATCATTCATTAATTCATTCATAATGATGCAAACAAAATGTTACCTGCTGTTCTCTATGGTCTCCACAACAGAATCCTTTTTGAAGGCTTCTTGAAGACTTTGATGTATAACATACTGGGCTGCAACATCATCATCCAGATCATCACCAAATGTAGATAAGTCCATTGTGTTTGGAGAACACTGAAGGGGACAGCTGACATTTAAATCTAGTTGTGCCGCAAATAAAACATTGAAATGTATTATAATGCCATCACAGCACTGGCAATGACACAGGAGATATTATTTTCCATTTTCTAAAGCTGGACATGTTACCATCTACGTTCGAAAATCTATTAACGTATGTCCAGCTTTAGTTTTAAGGTTATCAGTACCCACTGGACACTCACATTGTCTGCATGCTTGTTAATTCATGCTATAATTATATAATATTGCTACAGTTGCCAGCTGTCACTTATTTCAGGGACAGTCCCTAGAAAAGCCCCTCTGTTTTCATAGTGACCAGCTGCCCAATAAAGTCTGGATTGTTTTGCATGCTGTAATTTGTCAGCTATTTTTTTGTACTATTTATTAGGGGCAGGATGTGTACCATACTGTAGCGTTACCAAGCTATGGTTCTCAAAGATTTCTAAAAGCTCATCTTTGACAGCGGTTATCGCATGTGAAATTATTTTAATGCTGCTTTTTGTTCCTGGCTAATAAACCTGTGCAACCAGTTTGGGAAACAATGGTATATCCAAGTTCTCTACACAAGCATTGATGATACAGAACTGAAGAGTAGTTGGCCTTACACTTGCAGAATTTCAACAGTCTAACCCAGGGGTGGGCAAACTTTTTGACTTAAGGGCTGCAATGGGTTCATATATTGGACCCGGGGGCCAGACCAAGAGTAGATGAATGATGTGTATGTGTGAATTAATATAAATTAAATTAAAATTTGTAACATTAAATGTTTAGATTAATTTAAGGTAGAAAAGCATAAAAAGAGTTATTTTACAAAACTTTTATGCAATGTATTTCTTTCATAAAATAGTGTCTTCAATCCGTACTCCCCCACAGCCCCGCCCCCCACTAGCTGCTGGCCGGCCCAGCCACTACCATGCCATCCATAGTAAGTATAGTAATATTCCCCCATAGTAAGCATAGTAATTAATCCCCCATCTAGTAATTCATCCTCCATAGTAATTTATCCCCCATATAGTAATTCATCTCCCCTATAGTAATTCATCCCCCCTATAGTAATTTATTCCCCATATTAATTCATCCCCCATATTAATTCATCCCTCATAGTACTATTCCCCCCCAAGTAGTAAGCCAAGTCCCCCCTGTGTCAATTTACTTACCTTTGCTCCGCGCGTTCCTCTCGCCGTGTTCCCGCGCCGTTCCGGTCTTCAGGGCGGACTGTGAGAGGAGCCTAGCTCCCCTCACATTCGTCACGCTGCCCCGCCTACACACATCCTGACAGCCAATGTTTGCCTGCCCTGGCTGTTTTTTTTTTTGGATCACGCTCCGCGGGCCGGATTAAAAGGTCCGCCGGGCCGTATATGGCCCACGGGCCGTAGTTTGCCCATTGCTGGTCTAACCTGAGATGGGGGTCGATTTACTAAAGGCAAATAGGCTGTTCACCTGTCAAAATATATTTCCTCAGAGCTTCGTAAATGTTATCAAAATTATCCAAATCATATGCAAGGAAAATGAAATAAATGTCTGTTTGCCTGCACATAATTGGATGATGGAAGTCAGCACAGCTTCACCTCATTCATTAAGCTCTGGGGAATGTTCCCTTGCAAATTGTAACTTCCTTTGCAAAGCGAGCAGTCTATTTGCCTTTAGAATTGCTCCAGTGAGTCATAGCTGATGAGCATGTTATTTAGGAATGAGAAAAGTATAACCTCCCTAAAAGTTGCTGAGGAACTTTGAACCTAAGTGGTTGTGAAACAACTAAAACTGTCTTTGCATCCCCAAAAGAACCAGTCAAGATTCCCCATTAGCAGTGTAGGAGAATGAAAGGGAGAACCTGACAGTTCAATATGGAACTCATGCAGACTGCCTGACCTCGAGCCCTATGTCCATTAGTACTATCTGATGATTTACCATTTCTCGATGGCAAATGCAAATGAGATTTGGATATATTTCATTAACTGAAAAGTTCAGTGATTATGTGTGAAGTGTATTAACCACCAATGAAGAGATCATGTTAATAAATTTAAAGTTAACTTGTTTCAAACATGAGTGAGCCAATCTGATTTCATCTATGATGTAAAAATACATAAGCAGAGGAGAGGTTCAGTAAATCCTGCATGCCAAAATGTTCAGTAAGGGCCCATGCACAAAAAACACCAGTACTCTTGTCAGAAAAAAACTCACAAATTGTAGGCATTTTTGTAGGACCATTTAGGAGCATTTTGTAGCATTTAGGAGTGTTTGGCTTTTTTTCTGGCAGAAAAAAAAACGCTTTCAAAAAAGCAAAAAAGAAGGGTATTATTTTCTGCCTCTAAATGCTGAACCAAAATATGCCTCTAAATGACCACATGTGCATGGGCGCATGTGATAACATTAGTTGCTTCTACAGGCAAAACTCCTCTAGGAGCAGCGTTTTTTTAAGCCAGTGTACATGGACCCTTAATCCACAGAAACAGGCAGCTAAATTTATATGCAAATTATGACTTTTCCTGTAAAAGTTAAGATTGGCTCCACCCCTCCTAGCTCTGCAATCTTCTAATTGGTATTTTAATGATGTAATCTGCTCCAATGACCTATAAGGAAACCCAAGAGGTGGGATAAACTCAACATTTATAGAAACTGTGGGGATCCGCTTATATTTTCAGTTGCCTGCCTCTCTCTTTTTTTGCTGATTGTTTTGACATGTGGTCTTCAGTGCAGGTAGCCTTTGCTGATCCATGTTTTCATCATATGCTTAGTTTGAATTGCCTGCATTTACAGTAAACATACATGGTTGCTACGGTATAACACACTTTGTAAATCATTTTCCTTTGTGCTTTGCAGAATAAGCCCAATTGTATATTGATAAAACCCAAAAAATGGAAGACTCTTACCTGTTCTGTCAGTATTTGTTGGCTCTCATCTTCTTGTCTAACCATAAGCTGATCAGGTCACAATTTCTTAGGCTTAACACTGAAAACTGCACTGTTAAAGTGGAAGTCAAGACTTGACCGTCAGCTCACTCCTCAGCATAACATCATGTTTATTTTGAAGCAGACATCTCCAGAATCTTCACTGGTGACCTATAAATACCAGATCATGAGATAGTCGGCCCCCTCTCACGTGGGTGAGCTATGTTTGGTAACACAATCAGGTGGATTACAGCAGAGGAATTAAAAGAGGCTGCAGATCCTGGACTCAGAAACTCATGCTGTGCTGGAATCACACAACCATTACTCAGGCAAAAGATGCAATATCAGAAGGATTTACACAACAACTGCAACCCTCTACAGTTACCTTTTTATACAAGCAGAACAAGTTTATTTTTTCAATAAAAACACACTGAAACTGCATATTAAAAATATTGCATGCATGCAAATCTGTTTTCCTTGTGGCCTTCTTAACCACTGGGTAGGCACAGCCGCAAGTTCTAGGATTCTCTATGACCTCTTGGTTTGAGCTCTGCAAGCTGCACAGCTCAGTGGTCATAGGCTTTCCACGCCTCCCTCTATCTGCAAGATAGCATATGGATAACATAAAGCATGGATCAAGCAAAAAATAACACATTAGCAAGTGCACATGCCAGCATAATGTTTAACTTGCAATTTCAGTGTTTGGATTAAAAGATGTACTTTAGTTCTGCTTTAAAAAGGCAACACAGACACAACGATAATCTTAATCTACAGTTCTACACAGAGCACTGAAACATCATATTCTGTCTAATTGGTTATGCAAGGAAAGGTGATGGTGTTAATGGAAATGGAATCACCTAACCTCCATATCCTCACCTTACCTGTGCACTCTTGCAGCTTCTTGCTCCTCGTGCAGCTCAGCTGCCTCAGTTCTTGAAGAGTGTCCATTGTGCTCCATCCCTGCAAAGTTTCCCTGTCTCCAGTATCTGAGATGCTTGTGTGGTCCACTCTGCCATAGTGGTTATGTACCTTTCCCCTCGACTGTATTTGTGAGTGCATATTTGCTTTTTACAATAAATATTCCATTTTTAAACATACTACACTATTAGCCTTTGCGCTGGTTTCTCTCTTTTTAATTTTATTTTAACTGACCACTAAGCATAAAAATATAATATGCATATATTGTATGACCAGAAATGACAGAGACTAAACAGAAAGTTGTCACCACAGCAGTAACCACATTAATAAGTTATAAAAATAAGGACTGCTACCACAGCACTTAAATAAGATCTTGTTTGGAAAATGAATGATGTTTGCCAGATCATGAGAAATAGTCAGAATAATCATTTTACCAAATTATGTATAAAATATACATTAAGGAAACTGGAGAATAAGGCACAGCTGCATTGGTGGTTTCTAAAAGAGAAGTGTGGACTTTTTTTCCCCCATTTATATTTATCTAGGTGGATGCAGCATCGGACCGATACTGCATCTGTCCCCCGCCGGGTCTAACACATGACCGCTGATCGCTGAATTCTCACAGCTGCTCTGAGCATAGAGTGGTAACCGTCAGTCACCGCTGTCTGCTCTGCCCCCCTCCCAGTGCTCACTGGCTTGCTGAGAGGCTGAGCCAGGTGCCGCTCCAGACTCTGCGGTGAATCCCAACTTTGCAATCGGGATCTTTCCCCAGCCTGGACCGGTTGGGTGACGTCAGCCGGCAGCAGGCTTCAGAAAACTGGTCAGAGGAATGCAGAACGAACTGCACTTTTTTTTCCCTAAAGAACAGAGAATGATCATAGAGTTCTTTATCAGGCTGGAAAATCAATAAAATGCTCACAACTGCTCATTATCTATAGACTGATTGTCTTCATATGGTGGCCCAAAAGTCAAACTCGGCTCACACTATTCACACCAAAGATATTTAAATATTCTGAACAAGCAGTAAAAGTACTTTAAACCAAGCTCTGTAGCGATTTGCATTGTGGAGAAATGAATCTTCAAAGTTTATTACAAATGCACTGAAATCTTAGCTAGATTCTATGAAGAGAAGGGTCTTTGCAAACTGCCAGCCTTCTTGTAAGAAAGGTTGGATTT